TGGGAACGAGGCAGCTCCGGGCGAGCAGATTTGTGGGTGCGGGGGGGCGGCGACAGAATCGATGGGTCTCCCCGCAGTTTGCACGGCGGCTTTAGGTTGGGTCGGCCATTGGAAGTACAGTCTTTGCCTTTGTACCTCCAGCGGCCGCTTCCTCGCTCTCACACTGGGCGGGAGACTTGATTTTCCCCAACTTCATGTGTAAAATAGGGATGATTCTGCCTGCGGGCAAGAATGTTGTGAACGTGAGCCACATGCTGTGTACATACCAAGCGTGCAGGGAGCAGAGGCTCAGGGTGGCCCCCTGACCAGCACCTGCTTGATAAGGGGCCTTTTTAGGGGCCTTTTTTCTAGTTGGCTGGCGGGGGTGGGGTGGGGGGAACCCTGGAGCCCCAATGTAAAGAGAGGAAGGGAGAAGGATAGAGAGTTAGAAACATCAATGAGAGAGAAACATTGATCAGCTGCCTCCTGCACACTCCCCACTGGAGATGTGCCCGCAGCCAAGGTACATGCCCTTGACTGGAATCGAACCTGGGACCCTTCAGTCCGCAGGCCGACGCTCTATATCCACTGCGCCAAACCGGTTAGGGCAGGAAGAGCTTTCTGAGCCCTCCAGATAAACGTACAGACGGAAGGAATCGCTTGTCAGCTGACATTTGAAGTCATTTTCGCATTTTAAGTAGTTTACACGCACGCTCCTGGGACGTCTCCTGGGTCGGACAAAGGCCCGGTTACATTTTTAAATTCCCGATGGAAATGCAGAATGCTTATCTGCCTTCCAGTCGGAATGTTAAGTGAAAAGAGTGTAAAAAACAGTCCTTGTGCAATCGACTGCCGTGTGTCTGTTTCTAACCTCCGACTGTTTGTCTTTGCTTTTTGAGACCAACTAAAACGCTGACTCTAAATAGCAAGCTTGTGTGTGTTCACTCTGGCCAGGTTCACCCCATGGACCTTGCTGAGAGAGAACGGAAAGTTGGAGGGCACTTTTTGAAATTATTATTAATTGTCCCCCGAGGATAGGTTTCTATTGATTTTATACTTAAGAAATGGTTTTATGGATTTCAGAGAGAGGAAGGGAGAGGGAGAGATAGAAACATCAATGGTGAGAGGGAATCGTCGCTCGGCTGCCTCCTGCACATGCCCTGATGGGGGACCTTTGGGAGGATGGGAGGATGCTCCAACCGACTGAGCCACCCGGCCAGGGCTGGAGGGCACATTTAAAATGTCACTGTGTTTTGCTTTTTTTGTTTTGATATTAGGTTCTTCCCTGCCTTGGTCCAAAAAGGTTTTAAGTGACTGTGCATAATAAATATTGTAACTACTTCTCTTATCTGTTTCGTATGTTGAGTTTCTCAGAGAGATTTTATTTGAACAAAGGGTTTTACTGCTGAGCAAAGTTTGAGGATCATTAAATTGGATTGACCTCTGAGGTTATATTTTATTTCCAGGATTCCTTTCGGATCTAAATGTCACGCAGGGATTTTAAAACGTTTTTGATGACGACGTTTATTAAGAAAACAGGTGCACTGCCTTCCCAGGGTTTGTGCAGATGACGTGTGTGTTGGAATGAACCCCTGTCCTTCATCCAGCTCCCACACTTGGGTAATCTTGTTTCATCTGCTCCACCTATCCCTCACCTGTTTTGATTAGAGTACTTAATGGTAAAGTAATACGTATCAAAATTTACCATCTTAGCCATTTTATTTAATTATTTATTTTTTAAAATGTATTTTTATTGATTACAGAGAGGAAGGGAGAGGGAGAGGGAAACATCAATGATGAGAGAGTATCATTGATCGGCTGCCTCCTGCACATCCCTTACTGGGGATCAAGCCCAAAACCCAATCATGTGCCCTTGGCCGGAACTGAACCCAGGACCTTCCAGTCGGTGGTCCAAGGCTCTGTCCACTGAGCCAGACCAGCCAGGGCCACCTCAGCCATTTGGAAGGGTACTGCTCGGTGGCATTAGGACATTCACACTGTTGTGCACCCATCCCCACGGGCCATCTCCAGAACCCATCTTCCCAGGCTGAAACTCTGACCCCTTGAAGCACTCGCTCCTCATCCCCCCTCTCCCAGCCCCCGCAACCTCCGTTCTACTTCTGTGCCTGTGAATTGCCTCTTCTGGTGCACCTGTAAACACAATCATGCAGGATCTGTCTTTTCGTGTCTGACTTGTCTTTTAATTCTTCAAGCTTCATCCGTGTTGTAGCATGTAACAATGTAACGGGATTTCACTCTTTATTCAGGCTGAACAATCTGCCTGGAGTGTGGTTAAGCAGATTCCAAGCTTACATCACGTCACTGCGCTCACGGAATGGTAACGCTAACCACTGACCACAACAGCGACACAAAAATCCACCATTAGCTCCTAATATCGTCCCGCAGCACCTTGTTCCTGTTCCCGATTGTCTCAAAAAGGGCTTTTCATACTTGCTTTGTTCTCATCGGGATCCAGGCAGGATTTGCTCTGCCTTTGGTTAATGGCTCTGAGGTCTGCGTGCCTTTGACCGTGGAGGCATTAACCTTTGGCTTGTGGTTTGGGAGTTACTGCTAGTAGCCAAGTCCTTGTTTGGGAGTGATTTTCCAGGACAATTACTGCTCATAAAACTGTGAGCTGGCCGAGCAACTTGGTTGTGGGCTGGTTCCGGTAAAGACTGCGTTACAGCCGGTGAGCGCTGCTCGTGGACTCCCACGGACTTTCAGTGCCTCACGAATTAAACTTTCTCATGGTTTCTTGGCAAAGAACACCAGGCTGGTTGTGTCAGTCTTTCTGTTCCACGTGCACGCGGACTGGAGTGTTTTGGGTGGAGCGCTCTTTAATTGCCTTTTCTTTCCCCATAGGCGTCTTGGTGCTGAGCTGGGGAAGTCTGTGGTGTATCAAGAGACCAATGGAGGTAAAGTTACACTTACTTCTGAAGCATCCTCTGTCCTCTGAACTATGCTTTCATTGGCCGGCGTGTATTTAAACGGCAAATATCACCCTAACCGGTTTGGCTCAGTGGATTGAGCATGGGCCTGTGGACTGAAGGGTCCTGGGTTCAGTTCCGGTCAAGGGCATGTACCTTGGTTGCGGGCACATCCCCAGTGGGGGGTGTACAGGAGG